GCCTGGAGTTTGGCATATAGTAGGCACCTAAAAAAAGTTATTGAAAGAGTGATGAATAAGTAATAGAATCTAGGGCATTGTTATTAGCCTGTCTTTGTTGCCACATTTCCTCCATTCTCTCGGAGACAGATATTGGGTGTGTTGTGTGCATAGTTGTCAGGTCAACCTCTACTCCCTTGGTGAGTGTCCTTTCCACCCAGCTTGAGACTTGCCTGCAAGGAAGACCCAGGAAACCACAGATCCCTGACAGCTGAGGGATGGGAAAGGCTGACAGCTGTCTGAATGTACCATGTGGCCAGGCCTCGGCATCCTCACATCGTACCTGCTGCTCCACCTCCAGTCTTAACCTGGAGGTCTATGAGCCTTGCTGTGTTATGTATTATATGACATAGGAAAATAAGAGTTTTGGGGGAGGATAAGGCAGCATCAAAAGGGCTATGTAAATAATTAAAAAACAATTTCTTTTTTAAAATTGTTAAGTAATACATACAATAAATGTCTCTGGCCTACCATTCCTTGGTATCAACTCATCTCCTGTTGCTGCTATTATGTGTTCCCTAGTGTGTAGTTGGCTGTGTCCGCAAGCATTCGGTCACATCCTGTATGTCTTCAAACTAATTAAATGTGGTTGCAGTTGTCCGGGTACAGTGTCAAGCTCTCAAATTCTTCATGGTACTTGCCGAGAAAATTTTTAACAAAAGAATTTTTACATTTTGATGTGTTTCCTACGGTGAGGAGATGGGTAGGGTTAAGGGAGGTCTGTTGTGGTAAAGCTTAAAGATTAATGGTTAGTTTTCTTAATCATGTCCAAATGTCACCATACCTAGCATAGGGGAATTTGTGGAGAGATTGTTCTTCTTTCCCCATAAAGTTCAAAAGCCCTATAATAAATAACCAATAAATGTTGAAATGTGGACTCTGATTGAAAATGTGTGTGTGTGAGTGTGTGCGTGAGAGAGAGAGAGAGAGAGAGAGAGATTCAGAATGTATAAGGAGAATCTACATACTCTTGGAGGGACTACTTCCCCCCAAAATAATTTTTTTTGAAATACAGGGCTCTTCTTTATGCTGCCTGCATTTCAAAAAAATTTAAAAGTTAAAGTGAGCGATGACAACAGTAACAGTGTTGAGATAAAACATTCTTCATGAGTAATTCAACTGTGCTTCTTACGGCTTAGAATGTCTGCAACTCAGAAGACAGGGCAGTTCCCTTGGTGGTCTCCAGATAAAGTTCAGTTTTTCTGTCCTACCTGGGGTGCTGGAGCAAGGCACGTCTCTCCCCATTCCATTCCATTTATATTTATTTTCTTAAAGGGGTTTAAATTAGCATTAACACTTCAGTTTAAAAAGCAACATCCTTTTATACCCTGAACTATCTTCAGTGGGGATATGGCCAAGTATCTGGAAAAGAATTCACTTCGTTATAAAGCAGAAACTAACACACCGTTGTAAAGCAATTATACTCCAATAAAAACATTTAAAAAAAAAAGAGTCAAGCATCATAGTGGTCTTCTAATATTTCTAGGGGTTTGAAGGCAGAGAGAATTTTGGAATTGCTTTTTCTCCCAGATCTACTTTTTAACCTGAATCGGCATCAGGTTAAAATTTCAAAACCTAGTGGAGAATGATTGTTTCGGTGTAGCTTTCCAAATCATAGTGGCATTTCTCTGGGCAATGACAGTGAAGCTGTCGACTTGTTTTCTAGCATGGATGCCTCCACCTCTGGTTGGGACATTTAGTTTTGGAGCTGCTGTCTAAGGAAATCAGTTTTCAAGTCAAGAGGGTTGATGGTAATATTTCAGATGTCTCTTCCAGCTGCATGCATTTGGTTTGGTCCCTCCCTGCCTTTCCTGATGGAACAGGTCCCTCTGTGCCAGTGACTTTATGTGATTGTAAGATAGCAGCTGAGGATGGTTCAGAAAATGAGAGAAAAGAATCATTTAAAGATGTCATCATTTTAATGGCAGCCTTACCCAGGACAAGTTAAAACGTCTGCAGGGCAATTAGAAAGGAATTTTCTTTTATTTAATTTTCTCTAGAGGGCTGGCCCCGGGGCTGTTTTATGGTGTTACTAACTTGGTCCCTGTGGTTTTAATATGGAGTGAGAACGGGAAGAAATGAGCTCATGTTATGTTTGTAAATGTTGCATGTGATCTTGTTTTATCCTCTAAAGTTCAGAAGGCATGCCATCAGGGGTCCTCGATTTTTTTTTTTTTTTTTTTTTGGCATGTGGAGGAGTTACTGCTCTTAAAATAGCCTTGAGATCTTGGAGGACTGAGAGGAAAGTGACATGCTGTGGCGGTTACATCCCTGAGTAGGAGACGATGTGTTCTTGCTGGCTGCCTTCTCTGATTTATGGGGTTCAAGGAGGGGTAAAGTAGAGGATTTTGAGAGGACAGATGGCTTGGAGACCAATTGGTTGGGCCCCTCTGTATTATATGAATACCAAGCATTCCCTTTGTTGGGTTTACAGAACATTTTTCAGTACAAGCAGGCTAGGAGCTGCCTGTCCTATACTGCTCAGTTCCACTCTTAGATCATCAACTTTTTTGTGCTGTCCTAAAGAACTTCTCCATTGTCCTTACTGCTGTCGCTAGCAACCAATGGAGGAAAAAGAAAAGTGGCGTGCGGGAATTAGAAAATGATTTGCACTTCTTTATACCTAGAAATATCTGGCTCCTTTTCGAATCAGATTTTCAGAACAGTTCCATTTCCATACGAATTACTCACTGGCTGTAAAGGTCACTAGGAATTGTTGAGCATTGGAAACCGCAAACCAGTTAGAATGTGGCAATAGCTTTGCTCAGAATTGAATGTTGACTCAAATTGGCTCTGGTAATAAGATGCTCTTTAATGAAACCATCATTGAATGGATTAATAGATGCTTTCCTAGTTTTTGAGAAAGATACAATATATGTGGGGGATGTGGTCTGGGCGTGGGGACATTGACTACTTGGTCACAATTTCAAGCCTTTGTGTTAGTAAATCTTCCCAGAGAGCCTCCTTTGCCTGCAATATGGATGAATGGCCTTTGAAAGCTTAATGGGAATTGATGCCGCCTATCGATTACCATTTAAAGCACACCTTCCTAATTTCTAATCATCGCTGAAGGAAATATGCTTTCCAGTGGAACAAGTATCCCTAATTGGAGGGTCCAAGTCTGGTGTCTCGATAGCTTAAGTGGTCCTTCTAGCAACTTGGTGCCTATTGGGTTGGTGAACATAAGCTCTGCTGAAGGTTGATACTAAACCAGATTTCCGTGGAGCTGATTATGTGCTGAATACTCAGCGGATGGAAATCCCTGGCTTTCTGCCCTGAAATGTGTGAGTGATTTCATGAGGGCAGGGGATTATTCCCAGATAAGCTTCTGGAACTGCCAACGTAGTGAGGGTCAAGGCCAGGTTAGTTCCAGAGGATCTTCATATCATTTTGATGCTTCTAGTACTAGGCCCCTGTCCCTGGTTGGAGATTATGAACTGCTCGATAAATAGTGGTAGAGGTGAGATAGGGATATCCTGAGCCAATGAGATTTCTGGAAAGGGTCTCAGAATTAACCCTTTCTCCTTCAGGGAATGAAAACAGTTTTTAGTTAATTGCTATAATTTCAAGAAACACACTCCTCCTGCTTTCCCATGAAACAACTGGACAAATCCCATGATGATACATATAGAAATATATTTCTTACTGATTTCTTAAAGCAAGCTGGTTTAGAACCAACATTTGTTTACTGTGGATCTTTGAGGAAAAGTCAGTAATTATACCTGCCATCCAATAATTTGATTATTGGTTGGAGAGAATGACTAAACTTTTCTTCTCTACCTACTACACAAGTGGCTTCTGGATCACTGCTACAACCAGTTACATGGGTTACAGTAGCAGGCAGTGGTATGGATAGAATGGGTCCATTTTCTCACTGAAACCACCATATTTTCCTGGTTGGGGCAACTGAAAAATCATGTGAGTTCTTAAACACTCCATCGGTAGCCTTTCTTATAGACCAGTTGCTACAGAACAAAGATATTGGTATTTTACGTAAAAGTGGTTTTGTTCATCATATTATCCTTCTATAATATTCTCCTTCGATCTTCTTTCTTCTTTCTCCTTGACAGTACTTACACTTTACTAACTTTTGCTAGTGAACAACTTGCTGTTTCCCCACCAAGATTTGGCCTATGTGCGGGTAGTGAGGGGGAAATAAATCTACTCAAGAAATTAAAACAGGGCTTCCCTGGTGGCACAGTGGTTGAGAGTCCACCTGCCGATGCAGGGGACACGGGTTCGTGCCCCGGTCCACGAGGATCCCACATGCTGCGGAGCGGCTGGGCCTGTGAGCCATGGCCGCTGAGCCCGCGCGTCTGGAGCCTGTGCTCCGCAACGGGAGAGGCCACACAGTGAGAGGCCCGTGTACCGCAAAAAAAAAAAAAAAAAAGAAAAAAAGAAAAAACAATTACCAGCTTCCCAGAAAATTGAATTATCAGCATGTACATGAATACTTGAAACAACTGTAATACATTTCAATAGAAAACCAATGTCTAAAATAGAATATGTAATTTTATAGTTCATCACTCCTCAGATTCTTAGAGTCAATTACCTAACTTCTGTGAACTGCTGAGACATAAAATCACTGCTTTTGTAAAAGCTAAAAAGGAGAATAGATATTATTTAGTTCAATCCCCTCATTATTCAAGTAAGGGGACCAAGGCCGACAGAAGTTAAATGACTTGCCCAAGGACAAACGATCACTTTGTGGTAGGGTTGGGATTCAAACCTGTGAGTTCAAACTCAGTGCTCTTGACATGCCCCCTGTGATGTCGCGCAGGAGTCTTAGTTCTAAAGGACAATGAATTAGGTCACCAAGCAAGTAGCTCTGTATTTAAGATGCTCTGCTTTGATAACATTCCCACCATTTCCCGATCCTCCCTTAAAACACTGTGAATCTGCCTTTGTGAGCAGATGATAAAATAAAATCCAGCAGGCCCAATGAACTGTAAAGCACTTACTCTGAAAAATTCTTTTGTTGAGCCGGAGTCCAGGGTCCCATATGCAATTTCAGTCTGCTTAGCTAAGTCTTCAGCACTCTCTATGGGAGAAACCATCCTCTCCACAGTCAGGAAAGCAGCGAGATTGGCCGTATAGGAAGAAATTATGATCAGGGTGAAGAACCACCAAACCCCTCCAACAATGCGCCCGGAGAGTGATCTACAAAACAAAGACCAATCCAGACCCAGAGGGGCCGGATTTCAGTTTAAGAAATCCTTATCTTTACTTTTGGAAAGAGGAATGGTTTCAGTGTAGCTGATGAAAGAGGGAAGTAAATGATGTCAGGGAATTAACACATCCAACAAGAGTGACATGTTGACAGTATCACCACATGTCATGGTGGCATGTGATGATGGTACATGCATAATGCCCTTCAGGCCTACATGGGTTTCAAAGTAGGATTATTTATTTAATCACGGGAAAAAATACCTTCTTTTTGCCAGTTCCTGCTTAGGTGTAATAATTGTACTTACCTGATTCTCCTCCTGTGAGCTTTTCTGGGCACACCTGTGGAAGACTGCTCTATTTCCTTTAAGGCAAGTGGTTCCCAGCCTTGCCTGTACCTTAGAATCATCTGGGGTCTTTAAAAAAACTTCTCATGCTCAGACCCAGCCAAGACCAAAGAAATCAGAACCTGAGAGGTGGGACCCAGACATATGTATTTTTAAAATCTCTCCAGGCGATTACAATGTGCAGTCAAGGTTGAAAAACACTGATGTAAGGTGATGTCATGGGAGAAACAGAGTCGAAAACCTTTGCATATTTGAAGAGAAATGATTAGGTGCTAGCTAGTAAACAAGCACTATGCACTATGAGTTCAACAAATTTAATATAGACATTGCCATTCTGTGGAGCTGATTACCCATAAGGCAAGGGGCCATAATATTTATTATTGTCTTCATATAAATGGCTAGTGGGGCTCAGGAGTTTAGATCCAGAGACTGAAACTCTTCCCTTTTACAAATTGAGATGTAGCACATAGGACAGGCCTCAAGTGAAGTAGGAAACTACCTGATTAATAGGATTTGAGAAGCACTAAAAGGTTTGTCTGTACCCTCCCCCACCAAAATAATCAAAACAAACAAAACCATCCCTACTGGCCCGCCCTAGAAATTCTTACTATTGGAATTATCCTCTGAACTTTCTTCAGGAGGCTTGGTCAAAATGTAACATTTTACTTCAACAGCATCTATTATCATATTATCCTGGATTAGTCTATGCAATTAGTGGAGAATGGGACAGAAGAAGATGGGTAAGTTTTAATCAGGGAAAATTTTGTTCTTAAATGGAACTGTGCATGGGCATTACTTGGGGTGTTTGTTAAAATGCTGATTCAGAATATGAGTGCTCAAAAATCTGGACTTCTCAAGCATCACTGGTGATTGCAGTGGTCTGCGGCCCAAACTGAGAAATATTGTTCTTCTTCTACATCAGTGATTCTCAACTCTGCCTGCACATCAATATCATTGGGGGAGTTCAAGACAACACAAAACAAAACACAATGACCAAAAAAATGCCTAGGCTCCACCCCAGGCCAATTAAATCAGAATCTCTGAGGGTTGGACCTAGGCAGCAGCACTTTTTTTTTTTTTTTACATCTTTATTGGAGTATAATTGCTTTACAATGGTGTGTTAGTTTCTGCTTTACAACAAGGTGAATCAGTTATACTCCGGGGCAGCCAAGATTGGGAGTCATGGTCCTACGTCATGAATGCTACTCAGGGAGAGGGTCTGTGGGCAGTTAGGGGGCAGTGTGAGGGCACTGAATGCCCAACGGGTAAGGGCTTGTAGTGAGGAAACTTCATCTCCTTCACAATGCTGCTGAAGGCTGGCTCTGTTTGCAGAAATGAAATCTGGTCACTAGGTTTTATAAAACATTGCCACATCATCCCGAGGATAGTTCTGCTCTGTGGTGGAGCGCCATCCTGGTTAGGCTGTGTTCTCTCATGCCCAGAAAAGCTCACAGGAAAAGAACCCACTCTGTCATAGAGTCAAGAATAGGCGTAGGAGCCTGGCACATCTCCAGGCTCTGTGGGAAGAGGGCAGCTCTGGGCTGAAAGCTGGCAAGTCAAGCTCTTCTCTGTCTATACTCGCATTTTACCACTTTGAAGCAAATTTAAATTCCTGTGTCCCAAGATAACCTTTTTTTTGGCCTCTGGAAAATTCAGTTGTTTCAGATTTTACACCCTGATCAAATAATTTTGGCAGGTGTTTTGATAAAGAGTATTCTTTATTGATTAACTGTAACAAAACTGTTTGGTTTTTTAAAGCCTGTAATTCCTATTGGTCCCTGGATGCTTCACATAACCCTTACGTATTTATTTCTGAACATAAGCACTTTTAGCGTTTGGGATGTGCACATCTGCTTCGCAACAGATTTTCTAACTGATAGTTATACTCTCTCAGGATTTCACCTGGGAACATTCCCCTTTTAATCAGAAGATGTAAAAACATCTGAAGTCAGAAAGAATGTCCCATCTGAATGCTAAAAGTGTACAGAATATTTCAATTATGAATTTGAAACTTTCATGGTCTTTCTTCATTGTTAACATATACATTTTATTCTGGGTTGATCTGACTCTGGAAATAATTTTACTGTATAAAAGATGAATGCTCAAAGTAGCATTCGTAGTAATAGGGTAATAAAAATGATAATAATAGCTAACATTTAAGGAGCACCTCCTATGTGCCAGACTCTGTTATAATTGTTTACATGTGTCAACTCCTTTAATCCTCCATCCCTTTACAGATAAGAAAATGGAGCATTCTACAGATAAAGAAATTGGGGCACAGAGAGGAGAAATAGGAAATAAATCATCTAGACTTATGCAATCGGAAAGACATGCCCACATTTCTGTAGTATAAAATACTCATGTTTTGTATAAGAAAACCCAAAATGGTGTGTAAATTATAGAAGGAGCAATTTTCCTACAAACACTGAGAAATATAGCTGCAGGAAAACCAAACATGTTTGGATAATTATTGTTTATTATCTGTTGTTCATTTGGAATGGAACTGTGAATGTCCTCCTTATTTGGGATGATGGGGTTTTACTGAGACCAAGGGGAAAACTGATTTTGGAGTAGTTCCAGAATCATGGTTTGGTATGGAAAAGGGTGTGTTCTGCTGCTGTGAATACTAATGGTAGTTTATGTATTATCTGCTTGAAATGTGGAGAACAACACAGTAATTTATGGAAATTACGTTTGTGCCATTCTATTGCAGCTAATGGACTGTGGCTGTGTCTGTGTGATCTAAAATCAAGCCTGCGCATCATAATCTGGTTCTTTTGGCCACCTTAATGGCTGACTCAGATAATCGTGTGGTTGATCTGTATGACTCGGCTGAAATTGGCTGTTGACATGACTGAAAATAAACCTAAAAGCAAAATGGTCTTTTTTTGTGGCCTCTTGTCTACATGGCTGTTGATTTTGGCAATTATGTGGTTAATACTGTGATAGACCTACGATCATGGAGAATTTTGGTGAATATCCACATAGAAATGGTAAAATAGTATCCACGAGCATCAGCATAGATGGAAAAAGGAGCTTCCTTGGAATCAGCGTTGAATGCACAAGCTTGCATTCAGCATTCTCCCTTCAAGACAGTAGTAGCTTTTGTGCCAGTTCAAGTGAGAATTTAACCTCTGTAAAATCTAAAAAAGCCAGACTTATAGAAAAACAGAAGAGAATATAGGTTTTCAGGGGATGGGAGGTGAGCAAAATAGGGGATGTTGGTCAAAGTGTACAAACTTCTAGTTATTAAGTGAATAAGTTCTGGGGATCTGATGTTTTTCAAAGGAATGGATTTTTAAAAAATATAAATAAAATTTTCTGTTCATCAAGAAAAGAAAAAAAAAGACAGTGGTAGCTTTGACAAGAGTCTTGGTGGAATTTCTACCACTTTCTTCCCTTGTATGTCATGGATGCCTAAATCCCTTCACTGAGAAAATGTACAGTGGAACTCACAGGGAAGAAGCTCTATAAGAATTTTCACATTTCCCTTTTCTCATTAGTGAAACTATAGCCTTTTAAATCCACATTTCACATGGAGGCTATATAAAAAGTGACTGATGGGTCAGCCCCGTCACATTTTTAAAAGGATCTATTAAAACAAGACAAGACTTTATAGTTGAGTTAGAAAGACCTGTCATTTCCCAGTATCTTTTCTTCCATTAATGCAGCTTCAAAATGTTTAACATTCAAGTAGTTTTGTTGCACAAGACAGATTTTGAGGTTAGCATAATGAAATGACCGTAAAATGCTGCCATTTAGTATTTATAAAAAATGCATTAAAGGAACATATCATACCTTTTGAAGAAACGTAAGAGGAGACATGAAGTTAATGAAAGTAAATTAGCAACAAGAGAAAAACAGACATAACGTTGCAAAATAATGCACAATGCTCATGTTACCTGTGATCATAAGAAACTAGAGTGTCCGAGTTAATAATAAAATGTATTTTATGGCCTATGAAATGATAATAAAAGTGAGCTATGTGCTGTAACCTGCATCCTGTAAGTAAATTTTGAAATCGGCACTTTACTACCTTCACAAGATGAAGACCCGGAACTGCAAACTGCCTCTCTCCTTTGCACAAACTCTTTATCATTCCTTTTCTCCCTCTTCTTTCTTCCACAGTAGGCATCATTTCTACACTGCATTCAATGCTGTGTCTATGACAGATTTTTAAAAAAATGTGCAGAGTCAATCTTTGGTTCTTATAGTCTTCTCTGATGGGAATAACTAACCATCTCCCAAAGACTGAAAACTACGGCTTTCAGCCAGAAAAGTCATGAAATAGTTGTAATAAAAGTCCTGCTACTACAATTAATTTATTACCACACCACTACTGCTTTGAAGTGAATTTGCAGTTGCAGTAGGATGAAGACACTGGTCATACATCAGTAAGGGAAAGGCTATTGTCGCTTTAAACGGAGCCCCAAACTCTCCTATTGTCTTTGATCCCATTCATTTTTTACCCTTCGTGTATTTTATTATTCTGCACATACTTTCCATTTAAAAAAGGAGGATCTATGTGTCAGCTAACCTGGACAGATCCCCTGCCTGCTTCTCCAAAGTGTTTGCTGTCTGGAAAACTTAACAGGAGAATAATGCCCATGGAACAATCTATACACAGTAACCGGGTTCAAGTTAGCGTGCTCTTTCCATTTTCTCTGGTGCAATTCCCTGGAACCTTGTATCTTCAACTTGGCTAGTCCTCAGATGTCCCTGCAGCTTTAGAGAAAGTCAGCAGGGGGAGCATTTGTCTGGAAGGACTTGGACTCTGGCCTGCTTAGCAGTTCTGTCAACGTTTTACAAACGAAATAAATTTCAGATTAAAAAGAATTCCAGCCACCTGTCAATATCAGCAAGACATTGTGGAATAATACAATCAAAATGTTTGCAAGTTGTGCAATCCTTAAGGAAAGCACTTTATGGGTTCAAGAAGGAATGTTGTTGGTTATTTCTCATCAGAAATCAGCTATTTGGCACTGACTAAAATTTTAACCGTATTTAGGAACTAAAATGCAAGTGCAATATGAACGATTAGTATTTGTGGAGCCAGGATGGTTAACAGCAGCCAGTTTAAAAATGATAATAGGCGACGTGTATTGAGAACTTACTATATGTCAGGCACTGTGCTTTACATTTTATAGGTGAGGAACTGAGCCTTAGCAAGTTTTAGTACCTCGCCCCACGTTACACAACAGCTAAGCGGATTGTGAATCTAGTGAGATGAACTCCAGGACCCGCATACCTAATCACTATGCTCCCTCCATCTGGCTACACCCACTGGCTATCTCCCCATCCCCCAATCAGGGGGAAGAGGGTTGAATGCAATCTCCTCATACTTTCTTCTCCTGACTACCCCCAACAAATTAGTTCGTGTATGAATATAACCTCAGCTTATGACATTGATTACTCAGTCTCCACCTGAATTGGTCACCCTGAACAATTGGGGTAGTTGAAAATATCAAACCTAATATTGACATAGACTCTTTAGGCTTCTAGGTTACTGTTCATAGCTTTATTTGATGGCAGTGGAATCATGCTCAGTTTTCCTTGTGATGTCTTGTTGCTGATTTCCCAGTCTTTAACTTTGAGTGAACACATGTTCAGCAGCATTCTTAAATGCTCACTGCCTATTTTCTTAAACAGCCAGGGCAAAGGTACTGTTTCATCAGAGGTTGGGAGACTGGAAAACATCTCTTGGGCATGAGCACGAGGAAAAGAATGGAACAAACAGTGCACCTTTAGGTCGGTAGTGGGAGGCTGTGTGTGGTAGTGGAAATAATTGTACTGCTGGCTCTTAGAGCCTCCGTGCCCTCGGGTTCCATGACATTATCTCTCCGGGTACTATTCCTTTCTCTATGATATGAGAAAAGCAGTATGACGTGGAAAGAGCACAGGTTCTGGAATTGGAGTTGGGTATGAATACTGGCTTTTGTCATTAGCTGTGTGACTGGGCAAATTACTTCACCTGAGCATCACCTTCACCTAAAAAATAAGTACGATGCCCACCTTGTGGTAGTGTTTTGAGGATTAGAATTCATATGATAATACAGGTAAAGTGCCCAGATGCAGTGGGAACTCAGAGAAAATTGTTCCTGGGCCCTCAGTAAACGGATGCAACTGGATTAATTTATCTCTGACATCTCCTCCTGCTATGATATTTGATAATTCTACTTTAAAATGTGGTCTCTTATAATGCCTTGAATTGCTCCAGTTTTGAGAAAAGTCAGAGTGTACAGTGCATGCTCACATTCTGGGCTTTCTGGAGAGTTTGCATTCCAAGGATGGCCATTGAACAGAAGTGGGGCTGTGTGCCCCATTGCTGGGTTGAGTTGTGACCAGCATTTAGAAAAAAAAAAAGAGAATAGATAATATCAGAGTGCATGGCACACTGTAAGGGTAATTTCTGGTGAAATTTTGTTACGTACATATATGTGTACTGAGTTGTGATGGAAAATTTATCTCTGACCGAGGGTTGTGCTCAAAACATTTGAAAGCCATCACTCTCTAGGACAGTGTCTAGTGCAGAATAATAAAATCTCTACCTTGAAAAAAGCACTTGATATATTTCAGCGCCACAGAAGAGCCACAGCTTAAATTCTGCTACAAAAAATGAAAATAAAGAATCTTTCCAGCTTGTCATTTTCAGGCCATCATTTTTAAGTTATTACTTAATGAGGTAATATGCATAAATACTTCTAAAAACAAACGGCCTTTTAAGAGTCCTGTTTGAGTATGCACAGCAGCATGTAGCACTCCAGTGGGGATATCACAAATTTAGCTTTGGAAATGCACTTACAGAAACCAATAAAATCTCCAGCCTTAATGAGTCTTTAGCATTGTCTCAACACAGATTACCAGCCATGTTAAAATCATTCAATTACAGGATCATTCAGAAACCCTCATCTCTTGAAGTGAACATTTTAAAAAATCAGAAAAGAAGGAAACTAGCACAATTCACTCCCAGATGATATCACAAAACGACACACATCCCAAGCACAAAAGGAATAGGGAGTGAAATAATTTGGAGAATCTGACCAAGCAGCTTGAGGGCGGCAAAAAAGAATGAGAGATAAATGAGGCTTACCCCACACGTGTTCTACTAAAAAGCTGCTGAAGGTAGTTACCAGCTATGTATACTGCAGAACTCCACTTTAAATGTTTTGTGCTCCACGTGGATAACCTCAAATGAAATATGCTATAAAAGCATGGTAGGTGACCTTCTGAGTCCTTCTAGTCTAAATGAAAATCCCTATATGTTTGTATAATTGACTCTGGTCAGTATTTGAATTAATGTTCAATTTTACCAAAGCTACAACTTTTTATTTCATTTTTTTCTGATTATAAAGATGTTACATTTGCTTACAGTATTTTATAATTATGCATTTGCCACCATTTTTGTTTAGGTGAGTCGACACTTTAAGTGGGTAAGATCTAGGATAGTCACATTCAATACCTTCAGTAGCTTCACTGAGGTAAAATATGCATACCATACAATTCACCAATACAAGTGTACAATTAATGATTTTAGTAAAGTTAGAGTTGTGCAACCATTGCCACAACCCAGTTTTGGAAAATTTCCAACACTCTGAAAAGTTGCCTTGTGCCCTTTTGTGGTTAATCCTGATAGGAATGGGACTAGGGTGAGGCAAGTGAGGCATTTGCCCCCCACACAAAATTTAAGGGGGTGCCAAAATCTCATTAATCAAAATAAAGAGAATTTTAGTATAATTTTTTTAAAAAATCAAAATTAATTCAAGAAAATCCATGATTAACAAAATAGCAAATTTTAAAATAAAGATTGGATCTGACCCCTGTACTTGCTCTACTCAGCTTCACTTGCCTCACCCTAATCTTGATCCCCTCTCTGCTCCCTCCAAGGCCCCGGAGACCAACAACGTGCTTTCTGTCTCTATTGATTTGCCTATTCTGGACAAATGGAATAATACAATATGGGATAGTCAATAAATGGAATTCAAGTAATGGAATCATATGGTAAGTGGCCTTTTGCATCTGGCTTCTTTCATTTAGCATCATGTTTTCAAAGTTAATTTAGTAGCATGTATCAGTTGTCCTTTTTTTAGTTGCTCAATAGTTTCCCATTCCAAATGTGGTACGGATATGCCACATTTTGTTTAGCCATTCGTCTGTTGATGGACATTTGGGTTGTTTCCACTTTTGGCTATAATAAATAAAGCTCCTATGAACATTTGTGTATAAGTCTTTGTGTGGATATATGTTTTCTTTTCTTTTAGGTAAATAAGAGTGGAGTTGCTGTGCCATATTTTAAGTGTATGTCTAATTATAAGAGACTGCCAAACCATTTTCCAATTTGGGTGTAGCATTTTGCATTCATGCTACTAATGGATGAGAGCTATAGTTATTCCACATCCTTGTCACCACTTGGTATTATCTGTCTTTTTGATTATAGCCATTCTAGAGGATGTGTAGAGCTGTCTCACTGTGATTTTAATTTGCATTTCCCTAATGACTAATGATGTTGAGCATCTCTTCATGTGATTATTAACCATTTGTATACCTTCTTTGGGGAAATATCTATTCAAATCTTTCATCCATTTTTAGAATTGGGTTGTTTATCTTCTTTTTATTAAGTTGCAAGAGATCTTTATATATTCTGGATACAAGTCCTTTATCACATGTATGATTTCCTAATATTTTCTCCCACTGTGGCTTGTCTTTTCATTTTCTTAATGATGTCTTTTGAAATGCAAAATTTTTGAATTTTGGTGAAGTCCAGTTTATCAACTTTTACAGTGGATTGTGCTTTTTGCGTTCTGGAAACTCTTTGTCCAATCCAAGGTCACACAGACTTCCTCCCATATTTTCTTCTAGAAGTTTTACTGTTTTAGTGATAAAGCTTGGGCAAGATACTACAGTGAAATAGTTCTAGGCAGTCAGAGAGAAAAAATGAAAACTGGAGGGGAAAGTGGAAGGTTAGGAGGGTTTTAAAGAAGAGTTCTGTCTTTTAAATATTTTCTAGATCCAGTCTCTGGACAAATGAGAGAATGTTCTAGCTCAGTTAATGAGGAAACCATGCCTGTTTGTTCTGATCAAGATTTAGTGTTAGCTTTATCTGAATAATATCAATATTAGCTGGCAATGTTGCCTTTATCCGAGTTCAAATGTTTGCTATAATGTGTATAAATTGATGATACCATAGAAATGCATGAAAGACATTCAAAGCAACACCAATAACACACTCACTTCATGGACGCAAGCAAACAAAAATGGCTTGATGATAATTTGTCACTGGATGGAATGTTAAATGAAAGAAATCTGGACTTGAGATGGGTGAATATCAGATGTGCATGAATGGATCATGGCCATAACATGCAAGGAGGCATTGGGTATGACATGGAAACAAACCTTGGAGAAATATCACATCCTTGCTGCATAAAGGCACCCAAGGAAAACCAAAGACTGTTAAATATTCCAAATTCATTTGGAGGATCAGGAGGGCTTTGCGGGTCACGAGGTTCTTCATTGTTGTCTTCCAAGTGCCATTCGTAAGGGCTGAATCTGCTGACTAGGAAAAGAACTACACTGACTCCAATGTAAGCGAAGACGATGCACATCCAGATTTCGTAAGCCAAGGGATCCAGAAACGAGAATACTCCTGGTTTTGATTTCTGAGGCTTCTTTATCATGATGGAGATGCCCAGGCTCATAAACGGCTTTGAGAAATCTATGACTTCTTCACGGACCAGCGTTATAGTGAGTGGAGCAACAGCTATATCAGCCCTCTGGAAAAAAACATTTTTTGACTTTTAGAGACAGTATTTCCATTAGTCATTTGCCACTTAATATACCTCTTTGGTAGAAATATAAAGTCTTAAGTCACTATAGCCAGCTGATTTGTCAATGCTTTGGTTAGACAAGTAGTAGCATTCAGTGGGTCCTAAAATACTCTAACTTGATGGTAAGTTAAGGAAAAGACACTTCGTCCTCTGAGGCATATTGGCTTAGGGCACCTGATTCAATTTTTTGTCCTAAAATTGTTTTGCTACCTTGCAACTCAACTTCTACTCTCCTGTGACATACCACTGTTTAATTCTTATATTCTTATTTTAATTTTCATTCACTTATGTCATATCTCCCTTACCTGACCGGAAATTCTTGTGGGAAAAGCATAATAGTCTATACTTTTGATATGTGCCTCCCTCCCCACCATGAGGTGCAACACAGGACTACAGTACTCAGTTTAACACTTGAGTGTTTGCCATTATTCTTGACTTATTTCTTTGAGAGTATGTCTATAAAAACATAAGTTCTTTGAAGGCAGGGGTTCAATTTCCTATTTTTGTATCTATCACTGAAAAAGATCCTAAACTAAAGAAACTGTAGATGCCTAAAAAATAAGCTCTTGACTATTGAATACGAAATATGCAAACATGAAAGAATTCTGCATGGGCAATAAGGGCAAAGCAGTTATTACAATACATATTAATTTATATAGTAAGCCATCATTTCTAGTGATAAATATCAGTGTAGCACTCACATGTATTGGATCAATAAAATAAATGTGTCAGTAGTGCACTGCATAATTAGTTCAGGCAAAGGCAGACGATGTTTTTATATTAGTCCCATGGAAATAGGCACTAGGGACTTCTACACTTATTTCTTTTGTCTTCCACAATAGTTCCCTTATGTCAGTAGTAGGTTTTAGTCTGGAGCCAGGCCTTAAAACGCATACTTAGAGAAATGCTCATAAGGAAAGGCGCTGGATGGCATATCAGGTGTAAAGTGAAAACACCAATTTTGACGATCGTTTTTTCTTCGTTAGATAGTTATGCCGCAATACCCCTACCAGTGGGGGAAGAATGATGAAATCTGAGACAGGGTTGTTTTTTTTTTTTTTTTTTTTAATGTTTTAGTACTTTGATTTGCATACGGTGACTCAAACTGGTTAAGAAACACTCCTTAATTAATTGCAGGGGAAATGCGGTAATAAACAGCCAGCTAACATTGATTCAGTGCTTACTCTGTGTGAGGTGCTGTGCTAAGCCCCTTATATATATTTAATTCTCACAGCAACCTTGAGGTTGGTCCATGATCATTCCCATGTTAGAGAAGGAGGAAGTGAGGTACTGAGAGGCTGGGATTAGAACCCTGGTCTTCAGATTCCAGAACTCACTCTCTTAACCACCATAATATTCTAACTCCAGAGATACTTGCACGTTTCTACTATGTATTACTTTACGTACAATAATCAACCTCAGCCAACGCCTCTCGGGTTCATTCCAGTGTATATCTGAGTGCCTATTCTGTGCCAAGCACTATTCTTGGTGCTAGGGGTGTAGCAGTGAGTAAGACAAACAGACAAAAATCTGCTGCAGAATGTATGCATTTATTGAAGCCAACAGCCTGCTGACCAAATCTACCTTGAAGGCTGACTACCATCTCAAACTCACCATTTCTAAAATTAAACCCATCATCTATCACCGTGAGGTTGATTCTTCTTTAAGTCTGTGAATGATGCTTATTCCAAACGTTTCCCAGTCCCTAATCCTTACGTACCCTCTCTGCAGATGATCTTGCCTCTTCCTTTACTGAGAAGATGGAAGCCACCTGATATGAGCTCTGTCACCTCAGTGCCTTTCTTCTCTTCCTCAATATATTGCTGTATCTTTATCCCTGCTGTCATTCCCATCGCTTAGAAAATGAACTCTTTCTTTCTAAGATTTAATCTACGTATTCCTTGCATCTCATACGCTTCTGTCTCCTTAAAATTCAGCTGTTTATTCTCTTTTACTATTTTTTCCTTCTCAATCTGTTCCAGTGGTTCTCAGTGTGTGATTCCCCAGACTTAGCAGCAACAGAGTCACCTGGGAACTTGTTAGAAATGCCAATTCTCAGGCCCCACACCATGTTTATTAAATAAGAAACTTGGGGGGGGCGCCCAGGTGGCCCTCCAGGTGATTCTCATTCTTGCTGCAATTTGAAACCACTGACAGATCTTATTCACTTAATAATTACCTCATACTCAGGTAATTCCGTTTACTGACAAAGAAAAATGAAAGAAAAAAACACTTCTTCCTCCTTTTTTTGATCCTACTACCCTCTTAACCATACAGCATCACTCCCTATCACCACCAATCTTCTTGAAAAATTCGTCTTTACTATCTCTTGATTTTAACACAATGTTTCCCTTATACACCTGTGTTCTAACTTCCATTCCCCTCCAATTTAGTGAAATTGCTTCTTGAACTATATGCTTGGTTACCAAATTCAAAGACCTTTCCGCAGACCACTCATATGATACCACTGGCCCTTAGCACTATATGTATCCTCTTTCCTTAGCTCTCTGATGCTGAAGACTATGGGTTCTTCTCCTGCCTTTCTGAACGTTCCTTTTCTGTCTGCTTCCTAGCTCTGCTCTCTCAGTGAAGATGTACGTTTGTACCTCCAGAGTCTATTCATGGGCCCTGGTTTGGTAGGTAATTTATGAAGGTTTGTGGAATAAGCAAGTCTCTTTAAGGTTCTGTTCTTCCTTTCTCCCCTCAGTATTATTACCTATGGCTTCAACTCTTCCCCCATCGAGCTAACTCCTGAATCACCAGCTCCACATTTCTAACTGGAGGGGAGACAAACACAGATTTTATCTATTTTACTCTTTTGCCTGGGGCCAGACCAGGTGGTAGAAACAAAAGCAACTGAGGAGAATGGAATTGGCCCAAAAGCTAGTGGGGTTTTTTGGCAGAGAGAGTCTGAATCAGCTAGAAAGAACCTTGTCGTGCCAAGAGAATTCACAGATAAAGCCACCTTCTATCCCTGCCAACGTATCTCTACCTCCTGCTTAGAACGTGCAAACGCCCTGCTAGCAGCATTTCCCATTTGATCTCATTTGATTTAATTACTTCATTTAACTAGTTTTTTTTTAATCTTTAAAGTCAAAATACTAGATAGTTCTAAAAGAAATTGCCACTTCTTTGTTTTGGAAGGAAGAACGAAGGGACATTTGTGTGAGAAAATCACTTTGGATTGAGTTTAGGGGAATCAGGTTCTTTTTCAAGCACGTCAGGAAAGGATTTTGCGAATCTTGACACCCTTTAAGAGAAAAACCCTATAACTCAGTAACTGAAACACGCACCAGATGATGAGCGCAGCTAAATGCTAACAAGATGTGGCTAGACAGACAAAGCGGGGCTTCTTGTCTGGTTCCCAGGAACGTGCAGCAAAAGAACAGATTCCCAAAGAAAGCCATTTTTATTTTTATTTTTTTAAATTTTATTTATTTTTGCCCGCCTGAGCATCTGTATTTTTTTTTTTTTTTTACTGAGGTATAACTACTGAAGCCTGCGCGCCTAGAGCCCGTGCTCTGCAAGAAGAGAAGGCACCGCAATGAGAAGCCTGCGCACCGCAATGAAGAGACCCCCCCCCCCAAAAGAAAGCCATTTTTAGTTTGAAGTACTTTTGGAGTCACACAAGACAACAGGAAGAAGCTGCTCCCCTCAGGCACTTGCTCCGGGCTTTTCTACCTTTACTGAATTGTTTCTTTCTAAGGAGCTTTTTCAGAGACGGCAGTTTGTTTTCCTGGAGGGTGCTTCTTCAATGAAGAACAGTGTTAAATCTGTGCGCAATTAAGCCTCATTGATGTGGACCTGCCTCCAAAATGAGAATTACCACGCTGAACCTGAAAAAAGACCTATACAGACAGAAATAGACAAAGGGATAGCAAAGAGCAGGTAGGAGAAGGCTCAACTGGTAGAGGAGAAGGGAGCAACCCCTCCCACCTCTTGCATGCTTCGTGAGGCCAACGCAGCAGAACGGTCATATCAGCTCATAGCCAGCCTTGGAGAAACCCTTGCCCTCTGCCACCACTATCCCTTCCTCCATATGAAAAGGCTCTTGTCGTGGTCTCTTATTTCAGAGCTCAACGCCTGCTTGGCATAATGTCTGTGACGCAATCAACATACTTATTAGAGGAAATGGGGAGTAGCAGGTAACTAACCAGTGTCAGAAAAGACCCATTTAGCTCTCCTGGGACAGCTGTAGCATGCAGATGAGCGGGAAGGTCATTTTCAGGTCAAGTTAAAGATTTCAGGTGCCAACACTGATGAAAAAGTGAAAAAGGCAACTCCCCAAATGGCATTGCTTTCCTGGTCTGGGCTCCTTATGTAAAGCCAGCTGTGTCTGGGATCGAGTGCTAAGAATTCTCCATAGGGCAAGGGAGCAGCTGAAATTCGGACGCAGTAGTGAACTGTCTGACTTGTGGCATCCTGAGTCAGTCCAGCGGCCTTTTGTCCTCAAGCCTCTGCCTGTGCTAGTAACAGAAGTCAGCAGGCCATTTTCAGAAACCTTGGTGGGGAAGTAGGTGGTGTGACGGTGCTCTGGGTGATGGACAAAACCCAGCTAAATGGAAAGACCTCAGGGTAAGAGTTTGCTAGCGCTTTTGCTTGCATCTTGACTACTTAAAGGATTTTCATCAAGCGGCTTAAGAGTGGCTGTGTGGGCTCAGTAAACACACAGAATTAGGTTTGATTTTTCCACTCACCAGTGGCAAACCCGGAGTAACTGCACTATTGCAGGGGATTTAGCTTGAGGGGATATATAATCCTTTTCATAGGTGGGTTGCCAAAGTCGTAAATTTCATAAAACTTAAAACCCAACAAACTCACATGTATAGGGACGATGCGCTTAAGAGTCTGACAGGTTGAAGACAGAAATGACGCTTGTTTTATTTTATTGTAACGTCTTTATTGGGGTATAATTGCTCTACAATGGTGTGTTAGCTTCTGCTGTA